AAGAATAATTAATATTAGCCGGGTTCGGTGGCTCAGCCTGTAATCCCGTGCCTTTGTGAGGCTGAGGTGAGTGGATTGCCTGAGCCCGCGGGTTCGAGACCTGCCTGAGCAGCGAGATCTTATCTCTACAATAAATAAAAAAAAATCAGCCGGGCGTGGTAGTGCATGCCTGTAATTCCGGCTACTTGGAAGGCTGAGGTGGAAGGATTGCCGGAGCCCAGCAGATCGAGGCTGCGGTGGCCGGGAGTGGCCACTGCGCTCCAGTCTGGGCGACAGAGTGAGACTCCAATTCAAAAAAAAAAAAAGAATAATGAATAAGTGAATGAATGAATGAATGAAGCTCTTGTGAATGTGGCATGTTCTGGGAAGAGGGCCTGAAGGTCTGGATTCCTTCCAGATCCTTACCAACCTGCTCTGGGTGGTCTGGGGTATGGTCACTCCTCTCCCTTGGCCTGGGTGCCTTTTGTAATTTCTTAAATGAAGGCCATCATAGGCCTCAAAGACCCAGGGCATCTGTGGTCTGGGGACTTTCAGAGACCAGGGGGCTGAGTAGGGGCTGTCCCCAAGGCCAGGCACTGTCGACTTGCCAAATCCTGTGTTTCTCCTTCTTACTCTGACCCCTAACCCCTCAGATAGCGACCCTACAAGGGAAAGGTGACTCCTTTTTTGAGTGTATGTCTTAAAAAGAAAAACATGTAACCTCAAAGGTAACCAAATATCCAAATCGTGATGCCCAGCATCACACACCCCAAATCCACCTATTCATGAGTTTAACAAAAAGCTTCTTTAGGATACACTGTAAGGCCATTGAGGGAGAGAAGTTGCCTCTCACACTGCCGGCCAGCCCGCAGGGCCCACCCTCCCAGAGTGCGCGAACAACACACACACACACACACACACACACACACACACACACACACACACACACACTCATACACTCGGCCGCTTACAAGAAGGCTCTGAGTTTTTAAAAGTAAACTCCACCATTTCCGTTCTTGCCCTGGATTCAACTTTTGAAAAAAGAAACCGTTTTACCGTTTTCCCTACAAATTCCCCTTCTCTCTGGCCCTCCTCTTGCCTGTACTACGGCTCCCCTCCTCCGGTTCTTCCCTTGCCTGCTGCCCCCACCTTGCAGGCTCCATCTCCAACCATGCCCAGGGGTCCAGACCTCCTTGCAGGGATGGCATGGCTGTCCTGTTGGGCCTGGGGGAAAGGGAGCGGCCACCCAAGGGAGACACCACAGACACAGGCTCCTTTGGGCCATGGAACAGGGTTTCCTTACGTTAGGAGGGCAACAGTGAAAGCTCCCATCAGGGCCCAGAGCATGGACCCAGTGACAGCAGGAGAAGAAGGCTCTTGTTTCTGAGATATACTCCTTCAACAGACCCCTTTCCCAGGCCTGTCCCCTCCCTTGCTTCACTTGTAAGCAGGCCTGTTCTCCATGCCTTGCTTCTTCTCTGACTCTGGGTCCTCTTCCTTGAACATGTCTCCCCTGCTGCCTTCACCCCTAGCTTCCATCCTAGCTGCCTTGACTCCCCAGCACTTAACCATCCAGTCCAGGCGTTGGTGCAGCAGCAGCAAGGATACCCCAGCACCTGCTACCAGGAGCCACGAGGCAGGAATATCTCAGAAACAGAAACATCACTGGCACCAAAGTCTTACAAACTTTTTTGGCCACAATCCGCAAGTCTAAAAAAAGCAAATATCAAAATTGTATATATTTGCATGCATGCATTTATATTATAAACACACATACCCTCATAGAAGGTATATAACAAAATATATAACAGAAATAAAAACTTCCAGGAACAATACTGACTCTTACTACCTGGGAGGCACTACGAGATTATCCATTCTCTCCTATTTCATGAATACCTCCACTAAATTGATTTCACAACCTGCATGAGTAGAGACAGACAAAAAATGGAACTGCAAGCAGGGGCACGTGGGCTTCCCTGGCTCAGCTGAGGTCCTCTTAAGTGCCCAACAAGAAGGACCTTGAGAGGGACCCAGTACTACAAGGCTTCATTAAAAACAATTAGGCCAGAGTGGAGTGGCTCACGCCTGTAATTCCAGCACTTTGGGAGACTGAGGTGGAAGGATAGCTTGAACCCAAGAGTTGGAGACCCACCTAGGCAACATAGCGAGACCTCTACAAAAAATTAGCCAGGCTGGTGGCATGCACTTGTAGTCCCAGATACTAGAAGGCTGAGGTGGAAGAATTGCTTGAGCTCAGGAGTTTGAGACTGTAGTGAGCCATGACTGTGCCACTGCACTCCTGCCTGGGCGACAGAGACCCAACTAAAAAAAAAAAAATTCACATCAAAAGTTGGGACACACAACCTCTCACTAAGACAGAATATTTGGAATTGGTACTATCCTGAACTTAGCGTTTGTGACCCCAAGGGGACCTAGGAACGGTTAAAGAAGAGGAATTAAGGTTTGTGGTGACTGCTGAGAGCTGGACAAGGCTTCTGAAACATTATGTCTTTTAATCCTCAAAAACCCTCTACTGGAGGATTTTCTCCCCATTTTAGAGAAGAGGAAACTGGAGACTTGGTAATCTCATCACAGTCATGAAACCAGTAAGCAGTTGAGCTGGGATTTGAGTTGGGGTCTGCCTGCATGCCAGGCTGCCCACCCACCTGGCTCTTCCCCAAGAAGAGGTGACCTCTTTCAGTGCCCCCTCTCTGTCTGGTGAGTTGGCATGAAAGGAGGGGCGGTGTGTCACTTTGGCACACAGGGGTTGGGGGCTGCTGGGGATAGGTGTGTGTGTGTGTGTGTGTGTGTGTGTGTGTGTGTGTGTGTGTGTGTGTGTGATGGGGAGCAGGGGTAGAAGGCATGCCTGGGTGTGAGGAGGGCTTTCAAACATGAAATAAAGAATTCTACTGGGCGTGGTGGCTCATACCTGTAATCCCAGCACTTTGGGAGGCTGAGGTGGGAGGATTGCTTGAGCCCAGGAGTTGGAGACCAGCTTGGGCATCATAGTGAGACCCTGTCTCTACAAAAAACCAGCCAACTAAACAAAAAAAGAATCCCTATTTAAGTACAATTTTCACTGAAAATTCTAGGGTAAGAATTAGTGTTAGAATTAATCATAATCATAGTAACAATACCAAACGGTTTTTGAGGACTTGCCCAGGGGGAGGCACTGTGCTAAGCCCCTTGCTGGGTCATCTTGCAGCTACTGCTCACCGAGCACCCGCTGTGGGGCGGTGCTGAGCACAGAGCCTGGCGCCTAGGTGGCGCTGGGTGGACATGGCACTGGAGAATGAATGAATGTACTAGGCGCGGGCTAGAAACTGCACACTTATATCTAAATTAAACACAGCTCAATGCAACTGAGGACTCCCAGCATCTCTCTAAGAAATAGTTTCTTCCTTTGGACAATTCCTGCACCTAAAACTTTTAAAACTGGGGGGATCCACTGTTCTGCAAACTTTTTCTTTCAGGTTAGACTTCCCGCCAAAGCTCCACCCCCCCATAAGCCTTGGGGTTTTTTTCCCTAGTGTCCTTCCAGTCCTGGGCAGTCTGATCCTCAGTGACGGAAAAGCCAACACTCCTGTATCTATCTTCACAGTGCCTCCAAAACCACCTTGCCCAGGGCACATGGGCCAACCTGATTGTTCTTGTCCATGGCCACCGGGAAGGTAAGGAAGAGAGATGAGGATTAGAACTCTGACTTCCAGACTCTCACATCAGGATGAAGGACTGACTGCGGCCTCAGGAAACCCAGGCTCTAGCTCTGCGAGGGCCCCTAAGTCACCGTGTGACCTTTAGAAAGTCATGGCGCCTTCTGGATTCATTCATCCTCATCTTGAGGTGAGATGGGTGTGTTTTCGAAGTCTAGAGTTCCCCCAAACGATCAGACACCCACCCACTGCAGCACCCAGGACCTGAAGCACACTGCTAACCCAATCCAGCTTTGTGTCTTTCTCCTTTGCCTCCTGGGAGCTGCCCCCACAGAACTGGGATGTACACATCAGTCAAAATGCAGGAACCCGAGCTTCCTAATGGTGAAACTCTCAGAGAATCCCATCAGAATCCTGCTCACCAAAGGAGGAAGGATAATGATGGAAAAGTTTGGGTTGGATCCTGCCTCCCAACCGGAGACAAGTCCCTACCCCCACAGTGTGCTCCGCCTAGAATGTGGGTTCCTTTGACATATTGACAGCCTCCAGCCCCACCCCGGGCTGGAAAGGGTTCCTGCTCCTCCAGTATTGGCCCTGTTTGCAGAGGAGCCAAGAGATGGAAAAAACTGCCCGCGGTCATGCGTCCTCATCTCCCCTCCTTCTTCTTCCTTGAGCAATGGCCCTTCTCGGTGGACTTGGGCATGTCCAGCGCTCAGCTGTCATCTCCCTTGCCCGGAGTTCAGTGACCCTGTCCCAGGCTCTGCCAGTCTCCTCCGGGCTTCCCCCCACCTCTCCAGGGGCTCTGTGGCCGCTGGAGTAAGCCAAGCGGCCAAAGAGTGAGACCCACGCGTTAACCCAGCCTCAGCGTAGGCACCTGCTGTGTGACTGACACACTGTCCACAGGATTCCACTTATTCCTCCAGCCACCCCGCCAAGGAGGCCTCCTGCCTCTCGGCTGACCGAAGACAGGCCAAGGCTCAGGAAGACGAAGCACCTCCTCCAGTTCAAAAGCAGCACAGCGGGGATTTGACCCCGCGTTTCCTTGACTCTGCAGAGCCGCTACTCTGTCAACTGTGGGTCCTCCCTGACCCAGGACTTGAAATCACACGGGTGTTTGGAGTCAAGTCTCCCTGGTCCTTAATCCTGGGGCACCAGGAGACAAGTGCCCCTTCTCACGTGTTCCTATGCCCCGTGCACTCTGAATCTGCAACCGCCAGAAAGTTTGCTCAACTCCACCTCGGGCGCAGCCGGTGGATGCCGGGAGCCCCCAGCACACACCGCTCCAGGGGAGACCGAGGCAGCCCAGCCACGCTCCGGCTCGCAGGGCGCCCCGGGAGAGCCTCTCTCCGGAGGCACGGAGCCGGTTACCTTGAAGAGTTGGACTCCCTTCTTCAAGAACTTCGGTCCCACACGCCCGGCGAGGCAGCCGGGGGCTCCTGGGCCCGGGAGGCCCGGGTCTCGCTGCGCAGCGGGGGCGACGCTCTGCGCGGGCGCGGCGCACCCCTCCTCCTGCCGGCGTCCTGTCCGCAGGTCCCCTCGGGCGGTGGCCGCAGCGGCC